TAACTTCACTGTACAAGTTGTACATCTGGGCTGTAGTTAGTCTATGTAGCCCATTTCATAAATTTGTTCTATGGCTAAAACAATTAATCACATCTATCAATAATTTAAATATTCGTCAACTGATTTAGTAATTGATTAATCAATAACTGGAGTATAGAGCCACTAAAATGTGCCTTTAAGCCAATAGAGCGACCCACTTAGAGCAGGAATTATACCAAGATTATGAAAAAATATGTAAATATTTTGCATTTAGGACAAAAAAAAAATTTTTAGTCTGTCAATATTCTCCATCCAGAACTCCTCCAGAGGAAACGTTTCTGTTTCACCTGGGGTCATTTCGTAAAAAAATCTACTTTAAGGAACCTTTGGGTGATCTGATTATTAATCAATTCATCAAAAAAATAATCAACAGATTAATCAATTTGCAGAATAATCATTAGTTTCAACCCTTATTTTATGGTAACGTTCCAAACACATTTCTTCCATCATGCAGCAGTGAAGGGCAGCTACTTCACCCTGAGGCTGCCCTGCATCATTATATCTGTTTCCTACAATCATATAATGTTTCTATTCTACAAGTGCGTCTATAATAGTAAAGGATTAAATGTAACAACCTTTTATCATCATCCTATATTGCTTGCTGTTTAAATAGCTCCTTATGTCTATTTTCTTTTTTAGTGGCATCATCTATAAACACAACACTAAGAATCAGCCAAAGTTTATTCAAATATAAAATCACTTTTAACAATTATAAAAGACAATATAACACTATCTTATCTGTAATGTAATAGTATCCAAAATAAACAGCCAGATTGAAGCATTATTTACCAGAGATTAATGTACTAATTTACTTATGTACTGTGTGGAAATCTAGAAAAATAGAATCAGTGTAAATAGAGTTCCTCTGTTTGTCTTCATCCTATTTCTAGAAGTAGAATCAATTAAATAGAACTATTTTTAAGTGGAAAACAAAAAAATTGAAGAACGTCAGCATCCTTCTCGTGTTGTTATGTTCTACAAAATAAATTAAAAGCTTTTATATACACCTGAACTGCCGTCAAAAAAAAGGAAAACAGTAATAGAAAAGAAATATTGGTGAAAGGGAATCAGAAATGTTGATAGATTACAGACTGCTCATTTCAACAGCAGTTTTCAGAACTCCTGTCTGACTCAGAATATTTTGTTTTATAAAAGAAATCCTAACTTTGGTTACTTTCATTTCTCAAGTTCCAAAAATCCAAACTATCTCCTGCTTCTTCACAGAACTGCAGTCAGAAGCTTTCGCCTGTTTTAGCCTAGAATAAGAGTGGATTTCACCTGTTTACCTCTGCACAATTATACATCTTCAAAAGAAAACACGATACGTCAACATATAACAGGCATATTTAGACTATATTTGGTTAAATAGGAACGTATTTACCTTCTGTCTTACTGGTAAGTTTAAATGCAAACATTTTCAAAGTGGAAAAAAGTCCTAATTGCACATTGAACAGAGCCAGTGATGCTTCAAACATTGCTAAACAGCATCTAGTGAGTGTAGTGCTTATAAGATTTGTATTAATCTAGGAAGAAATTATGCTGTTCTCTTTAAACACATCAAAGCCTGATGCTCACATTAAGCATTAAAAAAAAGAGTATGCATCTTTTTGCAAAGGACCAATGACATTAGACCAATGAAACTGAAGACCAATAGTGTCCCTACCAAAGCTGAAATCAAACCTATGCCTTTGATATTCTCTCTTGCCTTTAATCAAGAATATAATCCATATATGTAGCCCACTTCTGTTGTTTTTGATCCATCGCCATTCATTCCGTCATGTAACAACTTTTTACATTGTGCTAATAAAATGACATTAAAGGGGCCACTTATCCTCCAGAAAATGTGTCTGTCTGACTTGTTTTCTGTATGTTTCCTGCATATCACTAACCTTTTCCCAAGCTCATAATGCTTTCTGCAGCCACGGAACAACTGCAGTTAAAATTAAATGTAACATCTAAGTAACGTAGTACCTGTTTTCTGGATACACCCCCAATGGAAGGTGCTGCACCCATACCTTGTCTCCTACTCCACAATGAAAATGTAATTAGACTCTTGCACATTTGGATCTTGTTCTAGTACACATAAGTAAAGGTATTGACTAGTGGTCAAAGGTAGTGGGAAATAGATAAATAATAGTTCATAATAAATAAAAAAGATAGAAGAATCCAGTATCCAGTTCTCTCTTGAAAAAGAGACACACCTTGCCTATATTGTTCCCCAGCTTTGGTGCAAACACCTGTTTGCTGCTCTGCCAGTAGCCTACCCGTTATATGGCGCCATCTGCAGACTGAAAGAACATTTATGTGACGTGGTTAATATATATATATATATATATATATATATATATATATATATATATATATATATATATATATATATATATATATATATATATATATATATATATATATATATATATATATATATATATATATATATATATATATATGTATATGTAGGAGACAGAGAACATGAGCTATGGGGATCATCAAACCTCCACTGGCTCAACTAAGCAAGTTTTTTCTCATTGCACTAATAACACTTTTAATCAGAAATGTTCCTGTTAATTTAATTTTAACAGCAGTTGCTCCATGGCTGTATAAAGCATTATGGAAAAAGGTTGGTGATATGCAGGAAAATATACAGAAAACAAGTCAGACCGACAAATTTTCTGGAAGACAAGTGTCCCCTTTATTGTCATTTTATTAGTACAATATAAAAAGTTTTTACATGACAGAATGCATGGTGATGGATCAAAAACAGTGAAGTAGGCTACATTTATGATTATATTCTCAGAAAAAAAGAAATAAATAAATGGGCTTGGTTGGAGACAAGACAGAATATAAAGGGAAAAGTCGGACGGCCTCTGCCGGATTCGAACCCGCCACGAAGCAAAAGGATCGCATTGAAGGCGGTCACTTAAGACACCACACCCCCTCTCGGTAGTATTAAATGGTGAAACATTCCTTCTAATACCTGTGAATACAAAACATTAGTTGGCGATGCATGTTGATGCAAAACGTTTTTACGTGAAAATAGGCGTGGAATGGATTCAAAATAACAGCAAAGTGTAAGTAGTGGATATATTCCTAAAATTAAGGCTTTGTGAAACGGCAATGCAGTGAATTCTGGCAATGCTGCAACATTGAGGTCTGTGCAGTTTTCCACAAAGCAGATCTGTGCTGAACTTTCTTGGTCTGGCTGCCTTGATCAGAGATTGGATGCAACCAGTTCAAATGCATTGGCTGTGGGAAAAGAAGGGAGGACATCATTATCATATTAGGAAAACGCGCGTTAAATACGCGCGTTCTGACCGACACAACGCGCGTATTTAACGCGCGTTCTGACCGACACAACGCGCGTATTTAACGCGCGTCTTGCGGTACTATCATGACGCGCGTAAAAGGCGGCGCTTGTTGGTAAAAGACGGCGTAAAAAGCGGCGTAATCTCGGGAGAACGCGCGTTTTTTGCGGGTTAACTTCAATCTTAACGCGACAATTCAATGCGAAATATGACCTTCTTGGCTTGCCATAGAGCTGCACGCATATGGCCACGCAGCTACCTCACCTGACAGCAGAGCCGGACCCAGACTGAATGAGGACCTGAGCAGCATTTAATATGGGGGATCACTTTTAGTTCATTCCACCACTGATCCCAAGGTTTCCATTTAGCTGTGCTTGGTTAGTTTGCATTCAGTTTTTTAGTGAGCCAACTATGAGCTAATTTACTGAAAGAAACAATTAGCATTGTGGGACAACCACTAGATGTTGGGGGAGTTGCCTTCCAATCCACCACATCTAGTGGATTCTAGTGTTTCTATATCTAGTCTTTCTATATCCACTGGTCACCGAGCAAGATGGATAACGAGTTTTCGTTTCAACTGCACTTACATGAAGCCCTACAGGTTTATGTTTATGATAATAACTGCAGGTAAATGGGAAAAGGATAGCATGTAGTACTTAGGTTGAAATATGTCCAAGATGGAAGTGTCCTTTAGTAATAAATGACAATAAATGTTTAAAGGTCCTTTCATTTCTAAAATCAAATTTGGGTATGAAAATCATATGTGCTTAGTTAGTGTATCAGTAGTTAAAGACACAAGGTCAGCATCCAGAGGGGTGAAAAAAGCATCACTGATATATTATCCAATGGGGTAAGTGCTGATGTGAGGGCATGTTACCAAAAAAATGAACCAAAAAAAGTGCACCAAAGTGTAGAATGATTATTTTGTAAAGTTTCTAGAAAATGTTGGGACAAAAACAATCATGCCATTCTAAGTTTTATTTAGTCATCTTGTTAAAAGGAAGAAATGCATGGCTTACTTCCTCTCTTTATTTGCATTAGCTAATTTTAAAGTTCAGATGCAAGTTAATATACACAAAATACTTTTTTACTTTTAAAGAGTTTTTAAATCGGGAACCTATTAACATAACTCTTAAGAAATGCAAATTTAGACAAAGTCTATTCAGACCCAGAAAATGTGCGGCTTGCATACTTTTTTTTTTTTTACATTACATGTTCATCTAATTTCGCCTGGTGTTGGTCCAGTCTGGCAGAACAGACAGAGGAGGTAATGTGGTGTCGCTGTCCATTTCAGCACCACATTTTCAGCACCTAGATCCTCAGCTGGAATCGTTTCGAGGGGAGATTTTTTTTTCCCCCTAAAAACCCTGCAGGCATCAACTTAAATAACTGCAACCCTAACCCCACTACCCCCCACCCCACACACACACACATCAAAAAAAGGGTTTATATTTATGCAGTTTAATTGGGACCTCATATACTCTATTCCAGTTTTACTTTCTTCATAACAAAATTGCTGGTCCAAGTAGGATCGAGAGCAGGTTGTCTCAAGCCGCAATAAGATGTGTTTTTGCCCTAGGCCTTTTAAATGCTCGACATTTATATTTAATAGAACGCAGCCAAAAAAAAAAAAAAAAAAAAAAAAAATCGCCATACCTCTCCGTTGGAGCTCTCCTTCTCTGATGAGAATCTCACTCCCACACCGCTCCGAGCATCCTCTGCATCCCCACTTGGGCTGTTCCCTGAACCCTCTCTAGCCTCCCCAGGCGTCTTCCCCACAGGGTCACTGGTGTCCAAGACCCTCTCCCGGCTCCCGCTTCTCGGGGTGCGGCTCCCCTTTCGGCCCACTGCGTAGTTGTCGAAGTCAATAGTCTTGCTGTCGAACGCCCCCTCCACGGAGCTGAACATCCCGTAGGATTTCCGCTGGTTCGGCCCAGTGCTGATCGGACCCGCGAGGTAAACCGGCAGTTCATCCTCCCGGTTCCACTGCCTCCTGCAGTCAGACATGATGGTGGCTTATACGGTCTGCATCGACGAGGAGAGTTCTGATGTTTTACGTCAATAAGCAGGTCACAGTCCCGCCTCCTCAGACAGGCGCACTCATTTACTGCCGTGAGATGAGAAATTAACGAGAATATATTCCTTTTCTGTCACACCAATTATAACGTAGCGCTTCAGTTTAAAAGGACTTCTAAGTTCAGTGTATTAATTAATAACCCACCGGAGATAATTAAGCAATCGCGGTCTGGTTCTCTCTTTTACTGTGGGGGATGTGCAGATTAAAGAAGCATGTGTCATCCTTAACCTACATCTGGGAGCTAAAAGGGGGATGCTGCTGTTTCATATGCTTTCTGGATGAGTACACAATCTGAAGGAAAAAGAAAACAAAAATGAGCTTTAGTGAGTTAAGAGCAGATCAAGCTCATTCAAGAGGCAATTCCACATTGAATTAGAAATCTCTCTGTGCAGTTTATTGATCAAATTCAGTTTTAGAATCCATTGATTTTATTTATATAGTAAACATAAATACATAATATAATACATGGTTTATAACAAGGCACTTTGTGCAGTTCAATCAATTCTGCTGCTTTGATTCCTATTTGAATCAAGCCTAATACTTGGGGTTGGATCCAAACAATTGAGTAAACTGGCTGGTTATTCTCTATGAAAAACATTTTAATGCAATATATTTATAATAATAGTAATTGAACTTTATTGATTTCACATTGGAGAAGTTTACCTCTGCAATGAACCCATCCACTTGGGGAGCAGTGGGCTGTCATTGTAGGGTGCTGGGGAGCTTAAGGTTAAGGATTTTGCTCAGGAACCCAGAGTGGCAGTCTGTGGGAGTGGGGCTCATACTCAGAAACTCAGGATTTCAAGCTCTATGCCCTAACCGTTAGTCCACCACTCCCCTTTGTGAAGACTTCTATTAACCAGCAGTTCTATTTAGACCCATTGTCTAAGACTATCAAAAATTCCACATTCAGTGTCACTTAAAACCTTGTTTTTCCATGCTAAAGGTTAGATTTAATGAACCAAATATTTCTGACCATATATTGATGGCTAGGTGCACTGAGGTGCTTTGATGTTATCTTCCTTAAAATAGCCTTATGATATTCACCTTCTGGGCTTTGGATAAATTATTTACATACAAAGATATAGAATCACTGAAAGCTAATGATAAGTTAAACTATTTGGGACGCAGCAAACTCAATTCAATTAGTTCCACTTTATGAGAAATTCATAAAGTTGTAAATCAACTCACCTCCTATGAGAAGAATCAGTTAAATTCAATAATACTTTATTACTCCCCAAGGCAAATTAAATGTTACAGTAACACATAGGTTATTTTTTAAACTGATGTTGTAGGTGTTGATAGCTGATGAACAGAAGGTTCTTCTGTAGCGGTTTGTCTTGCACTGGATCTGGAGAAGCCTCTTATTTAAGACTATCATAATGCAGATCTATGTTTCACAGGGAAAACCAGAGGCAATCGAACATTAAAGAAAATAACTAAAGACTCTGCAATATACAATCAATGAAACCTAAAGCTCTTCTTAACCTGTAGTACTCTTTATTGTCTATTGCCTACCATAAAACCTTCCCTCATGGAGACACTCATATACACCCACCACATATTTGCTTTCTTTCTCAATATGCTGACTCTGACCTATATTGACCACTGACTCCTCTGTCTTTTTTTTTTTTTTTTGAATGACTATGACCTGGATGACTGAGAATCTTCACCAGCATATTTCCTTGGAAAATGAAAATAAAACTGAGATAAAACCAGACGGTCAAAGGTGAGGGAGGCCACTGAAAGTGCAACAGCAGGAGGAATAACTGAAGATGATGAAAGTTATACAAATTTAAGTGCTTAAGATAAGGAGAGTCCGAGAGAGAAAATGACAGTGCAAAAGAAACTGAAGAAGGAAAAGGAAGCCACAGAGTCTTGGAATCCAGCCAGTCCAACAAGACCTGTTGTGTATTTATTCTCTATAAAATCCCTGAAGAGATGTTAGATTTGAATGTCTTTATGAGACGTGCTGCCTAGCGTAGCAATCCTCTCCTTAAGTGTTCATAAAAGTAATGAATTAAGTCAGTTCTGTATTATTATTGCATTCATTATTTTCCTCATTTCTTTTTTGGAGCTTAATTCTCTGTCAGTCTATACTTTATCTAAAGGTTGTCTTTATTTATTAGAAGAGAAAACAACACTATAAAAGTTTTAGAATTCATTTTTATGTTTTGTTAATCCATTTACATAGGAGAGATATACTGTATTTACATATTTCAATGAGCAGGTCCCTAATTGCCATCCTGTTCATTTCTAGAGTAGGTCAAAAAATACATTTTTCCCTCCTATAGAGTGTTTCTCATTAACATTACCTAATATATTCAGAAAAAGTGTATTGCCTCTCAAAGTAACTTGGTAGCGCATTAATACTAAAAGATAAAGCCATCATAATTGTGGAGGTTTTTAACCCTCCAAAAAGCATTTGTTTGTTTAAAAACAGTTACTTATGTGCAAGCATCCAATCCCTCCTGAACATCAACAGTTTTCCCCCCACTGGTGCCACATGGGTGAGCACAGCACTTAATCAAATTCAGTTTTAACCTGAAACCTTGAAATCTCCTTGTATAGTTATTGTTGCAAAAATGTTAAATCCTAGAACTCAACAGGCCACAGTCCCCAAAACTTTCCTGTAATTTTCTTAGTTTTCTTGAAAATCAAGTGAAATGTGAAAATGTCAGATAAAAAAAAAAAAAAACAATACTTCATATGATTGTTTATATAGTTTATATTCACAAAACAGGTTAACAGGATTTATTATCGATGAAAGAAATATTTTTGATTGATTACTATTTATTGCTCCTGCTAATAACAGTGGGCCTATTTTAGGAGTGGGCGGGTCATGAAGTTGTGGTGTTGTTTATAGACCAGTCTGACAGCAGCCTGTGAGTGTCTTATTACTGGGACCCTTCTTCTACTGACTGGGCATGGATTGAAACCTTTGAATCAAGGAGGGTTTTCGTGTCTGCTTATTTGGTAAGTAAGTGTGTTTTATGACATTGTGACAGCAGTTTCTGTGAAGGGTTTGGCAGTTTACATTGCATTGTTTTCATCTGTTAAGTATTATAAACCAAAAGCTCCACAGAGCGATACAACAAATTTCAGTGTTATTAAACATTCAACTGATTTCAGTAAATTAATTCCAGAATGGAAACACATTTTACAGATAATCAAATACAGCCTTATGGTTTTTTAACGATTTATTTATGTTAGTTGTGATGATGTTCTACTTACAGCTATAGAAAACATGACAATCAACATTAAAATTTGTGCAGCTTAATGAAAATAAATCAATACTTGTTTAAAGGCTGTCTTTTTCAAAATTTACTTTCAATCTGAGGCTAAAATCTCATTATTGAAAATTACTGTACCCTGCTTGGGTTATTTTCTTGACAGGTTATTAACCTCCCTAATTTCTAAGTAGAACCTGTTCGATTTGCAAAACATTTTTGACAAAAAAAAAACTTTCAAGAACAACTTATACTATTTAACTTTTCTATATTCCTGCTATTTTAATACATTGACTCTAAACTTGAAACTGAAAAATATAATGTAGTTATCTAATTAAACCATCTAACGCTGTTTTGTTATCAGTGTTTTAGAAAAAATGGAGAAGGATACACCGTCTGCACCCTCTGTCAACGCTACAGATTCATGCCCTGTCCTGAGGGGACCCCCTCCTTCAGCTTCCAGACAGATTCCTTCTACCCTCATGCCTAATAACCCTACTGCACCACCTCATCCTAACCAGTTACCTTCTCAGTCAAATCCTGGAAATATATCTGATTCCTCTTCATCACCCATTCAAACTGTCATTTTGGAGAAATCAAAGTCAGTCCCTTTTACTCCATCTGTGTCAAAGCAGTTCACTGCTGAAGGAGCTGAAAAACCTCAACTGGCCTCTTCCAACATGTCATCTTCTTTGGAGTTCGGATCTGCCTCTCCTCCATCACCTAGTCCTGGCTCAAACACGATGACTGAATCCATCACATCACCCTCTGGAGCTGCCTCTACTAAACGCAACTTTGCCTCTGTAGCCAAGAGGGTAATAATGCAGGAGAGACTCAGGAGAGCAGAGGAAGAGGATGCAGACGAGGATGAGGATGGTAAGAATCAATGTGAAGTGATGAAGAGATAAATCTACAGGCAAAGCTATGCTGATTGATATTTCAATTTCTGTAATAAGGGGAAGGTTAAAAACCCATCGTGGGCTATCATGACGTTTTGTGCTATGCTACTGTAACTTGTTTAAAAATGTTTGAAAAGCCATACGCAAGTTGGTAAAATAATTCCTTGGTAATATTTACAGAATAAAATGTTGTTATTGATTGTTCAACAACAATTGGCCAATATTTGCACATGTCTAAATCAACAACATACAGTATTCCTAAAGAAAAACTCACTACTCATTATTTTTGTTTGAAGAAAAAAAGATTGTCCTCAGAATAGTACAGAGTACAGCAGACTCAGTGGCTATTATACATACATACAGCAGACTAAAATGTCCTATCAATTATAAAATTGAACATCGTATTTCTACATGTCTATGCTACAGTAGTTACTGGAATAATTTCCCTCACAAAAACAATATTTATTGAGGGTGTCGGGAAAAAAGGCCCTGATGGTCTCTCTTAAGTTTTCCATTGCAATAAATTTAAGTCTAAACTGTTCAAGTATATTCATTAAAATTCTACAGAAGTAGCTATTATTATACATGCAATAAAAAAAACTTTGATCTAAATGAATTTCGTAGCATGAAAAGTAGCACACTTTCAAGTGTTGCATAAAACACACTCTAATCAGAATAATAACTAAATGGTAATTGTTAGAGAACCCTAAATCGATATCATTTATACAACTACAAATGTCTTAAATACTGAATACTTTACAGAAAGCTAGAGATTAAAAAAAATCATAAACTATTCAAAATGATATCCAACAAATCATTCAATTTTTCATGCATCTAGTTTCAAAGATAACCACAGTAAGGCATTGGGATTAAAGTAGAATCCCACTTTACACCACTAATAAAACTGATAAACAAATTAAACTGAATAAAATAAACCCTTAAAATGAAATTATTTCAGACTCAGACTAAAAGAAAAACAAGAATGAAAACCATTTTTTAGTGTTTCCTTTGTACCCAATGTCCATTCGTTCATTTCCTTAGTCCCCTTATGTCAGGATTTGTTTGAGGGTTGAGGACCCAAAAGCAGAGGCAGGCAGGCAGAGGTGAATTTATGGTTGTTTTAATGAAGGGGAAACTGAAAAAGCAAAGTCCAAACAGGCAACGTAGAATCCAAAATCCAAAATGAAAACAAAGTCCAAAAAACAAACATGAAACCTGGAGTCCAAAAATAAAAAACATGAAAAAATAAGAAGAAAACAAACCAGAAAACCATGGAGACATCAGGTAATCAAACTCAACGAGGAAGGCTCAGAGAGACAAAGTGGAGGAAGACTGAAGAGGTTTGACGAGGACCCAGCAAAGAAGAACAGAGAGAGTATTTGTAGGAGACTGAAACAAAGAGAGGGTTAACGAGCAGATTAGGAGCAGGTGTGAGCAGAGCAGAAACAAGGAGCAAGTGAAAAAGGAGAACTCAAGAGGGCAGCAAAGGGCAACAAATAAAAATCTGAGAACTGAAAAAAAGAATTAAACCACTGAGACTATAAAACATGGAGGGAAGCAAAACTGAACACTCAAAAGAAAATATAACAGAACCAAGACTGAGAAGGTAACTAAGAAAAACCCAAGGAACACAACAAAATAAGAATTAAACCATGAAAAACTGTGGAACAAAGAACAAAGCAAAACTGAACATCAAACTGAACAAGAAAAACATAACAGAAACAGAAACCTGACACCTTAAGGTGTACTGTAGGTTCCCTATCAGTCAGTATTTTGCCTAGACAATCCATCACAGGGCAGCTTAAAACACATGGGACATACAATGCACAATCATGCTGACACCTAACAATAATTTGGTCAGTTTATCTAACATGAATATTTCTAGACTATGGGAGGAAGCCTGAATACCTGGACAGAACCCACACGTGTTCAGTGAGACAATACTGTCTAAATGTTGCTCAAGGTAGCCTTGTTCATGATTTGAACCATAATTTAAAGGCTGCAATGCCTAAACCTTTTTATAATTGAAGATTCTAGGAGTGAAACCTAAATGCAGACTCTTAGGGTTGGTTATGGGCTTTATACAAAAGACCATTCTACAAATAGAAAATAACCTTTGTGATAAAGCACACATCGGGCACAGGATCAGTTCACATAATTACCAAGTACTGCAGTGACATTAAAAGTGTCTGTTCATTAAGTGGCTTAATTGTTTAAATTCTGTCAGCATATAGTTTACCAGGCAGGCAGACGTGTTTAAAGTTTCACAGTTTACATTTACTCCACCTTTCTTCTTTTGGATCTTGGGTTACAAGGTTTGTGTCCGTCAGGACTGCATTTTAACTTAAATGTGAGTGCAAAATAATCCAATCTTAGTAACACTGTTAGAAGATATTATTTCACTCTGACATGTAAACAAATGGGTTTGCTTCAAATTAATTGATCTTAATGCCAATTAACCTTGTCTGTTGCCATTTGAGAAGAAGAACCAGAAGTAGAGCTGAGTTTGGAGCAGATGGAGGAGAAGGCCAACACGGGTGATGCAAGGGCTCAGACCCAGGTGAACACAAACACTCATTATTTTCTATATGTATTTAGGACCATGTGTTGCATTGAGTTCCATTGATGTCTGGTCACTTTCAACCCTATCTATGCCTCAACCCTAACAATATCTTTAAAGATGAACCATTATTAATGCATATCTATCTCTAACCTCAATACAAGCTAAATCATTCTTCAGTCAAAAATCTAATTGAGAGCAATCAAACAGTCCTCAATTTTGATAGTGAAATGTTCCAAATCAGGAGCGCCCACACACAAACACACATCCACACTGTGGCATTGTTGTCAGTCTGGGTGGAAGACTTAGTCTTGCAGGATTTCTATTTTTTGCCGCTCGCAAAATGATCCCTGGATTCCAGTTTACTACATAACACATTGCCCTGCTGATAAATCATTAAGAGACATGATCTGTTTTCCAAAATATTCTGAATTTGCACAAGTTGTTAACACTTTCAGTCATTAACAAAACATAACATGGGACTGCAGATGATATGGAATGTGTTTTTCTGCTGTTATGGATCTTTCATGATGTTGCTTGTTACGATGTACAAAAAGAAATGGACTTGAATTCCAAAGTCAGACATATCGCAAAATAAGATATACATAGTAAGACACTAGTGTTTACTATTACTCTGTGAAATTTGGTTGGTTTTTAGTACATTATGTACAATATTTGGTAATCCATAGACATTATAATGTATCTGCTTCAGAGCTCCTGTAACAGCAGTGGCCACCTTTGATAATAAGTGTGTTAGAAGAAAGCTATGTGAAGATGGTTAAGATTAGAAAACAGTCATTTGATATGTCCAGGAGTGCTCAGCTGCCCCTGTTGGTTAACCAAGACAGAATCACACTCAGCAATGGGACTATAGGATTCTGGGTTTTGTAGTCATTTAATGAAATTAATTGAAACAGCCACAGTTCTTTTGCAGCGTCTTGTACACCGCTGTAAACTTAGACATATTTGAATTATCCTTCATAAATTATCCTCTTCACATTTCACATTAAAAATATAAGCAAGTTACAAATCTGTTGTCACAAAGAGATTTAAGTAATACAATCTTTGGTGAATCCATTATTTATAGTTTTGGGAGTGCCTTTGTAACCGTCAGTAAATTTGCAAACATGCAGTCATTGCTTACTGTGCATGCCGACAGAGATGTGCCAGATGTCAGAATCCTATCTTTCAATCACACACTCATCTTTAAAGCTATTGCTAATAATAAGGCCTATATGCAATTATGTGATTCTTCAATCCACACAGAAAAACTTAAATAGACTCTAATAATATGGTGACTTCTGATAGCAATTGGTCACATTTACTAATTGATACCTATTACTACATTACATTGTCTTGGGCCACTAATTTAAAAAACCCTGAAAATGACTTTGAGTCTCATAATACATTCTGACAGATAATGGAAAAGTTTAAAGGGTAAATGTAGTGTAGTTTATGTTAAGGTCAGAAAACCTGTCATAGAAATTTAAATCCATCCTTTTCTGTACAACTTAACAATAAACCGAAGCAATGACCTGTAAACATTCTCCATACTTCCACCCCTACCACTTACGTTTCAGTTGGGTCAGCACTTTTTGATCCTTGCTGAAGAAAAAGACCCAGACTTTAACAACCACCTAGCAGTTAACTGGCTAATCAAAGCAGCCAAACAGGGAAGAAAGTCTGCTGCAAGACTTCTTCAGCGTTGTTGGATTCAGAAAAAAGGTAAAAATCTTTCAAATAAGTGAATGGGTTAAAATCATTCAAATTGTTTCTTTTTTTCTGTTAGCAGTTTTACCACTCTGCTATCTTCTGCCAGGTATAACACCAGAAAATGAGGCTGACGTGCGCAAGTTGTCTAAGGAGGGTAAGTTTGAGTTGGCAGTACGCAAAGCAGCCATGATGATGTACTGGAGACTCAACCCGGATAGGAAGAAGAAGGTGGCTGTCTCTGAGCTTCTACAGAATGTCAGCCAGGTCAATTCAGTCCAGGGTAGGTGACGGATATATTTACGGCAGATTTTACATTGTGAAACCACTTGTGTCTGATATGGTACATGCTTCTCAGAGTGCTGCTTCCTGCTATAACACGCTTTAGTTTAAGGCAATGTTTGCAGCTGTTGACAAATATCCCATTACATGCCAACATCCATTCATCAACTTTCTGGATATTTCTCATCAGCAGGGGGCACAGCAAGCAGAATGCTTGCCCCAACTTCGGGCCAAACTCAGAAAGTATTAGAGAGCATGGTCAGCAATGACTGTAGGTATACAAATAAAAAAGAAGGAAAAGCTACAAAGTGCTGTCTGACTTTCTGTGTAATTACTTGTTATAAACTTCACAGCCAAACAGTTGGTGGACCTGGATGACTTTGTTGAGATGACGAAAATGTATGCAGAGGGAATTGTCCCTAGTACCCCTAAAAATGGCAGCCAGTCCACATTGAAAACTAGGCACCCCTCCCAGTCTGTGAGTGATAGAAAGGTAATGCTGCAATTTATTTTATCAATATCTTTATAGGTAGTATTTAAGTAATGACGAAGTCGCCTGTTGTTATGTGTCCAAGGACAAGTCAGAGGTACTCCCGAAAGAACATAAGAAAGCCCGGAAACATTCTTGGAGCTTTGGTTACAGTGGGATGATGCCAGACGCTGACCAGGCCAATGCCATGAAGTCACACTTGATGGTATTATGACTGAAAGAATGTATTTGTCTGATCAATTATACTCTGTCTTTTTGGTTTGAAAATGACACTCCCATTCTTACTTTCTGTTTTTCAACCTCAGACGCTGCAATACCCGCTCCATGCAGTAATAGAGATGAAGGAGCATCTCTTTGACTGGGCATCGAAGGCCGGAGTTCAGTGGTTGAGCACTCTCATCCCCACACAGCACGTCAATGCGCTCATTTTCTTCTTTTTCATCAGCAACTTGACTGTTGACTTGTTTGCTTTTGTTATACCCCTGCTTGTCTTCTACCTGTCCTTTGTCTCCATGATTATCTGCACTCTGAGGATATTCCAGAGCAGCAAGGTTAATCTAAAGCTTTCCTCTTTTGTGTTGGAAGTATATATTTCTTTAAATCAAATGACTGAACCTTTGCTCCTTTGTTCCAGACATGGGAGAACTTTAGAGCCCTGACAACTCTGCTGACTCGTTTTGAACCGGGTCTTGACGTGGAGCAGGCTGAGACCAACTTCGGTTGGAACAACCTGGAACAATACGTTTATTTTATAATTTCTGTCTTCTTTGTCATTTTCTCCTTCCCCGTTGCTGATAAGAAATGGATCCCCTGTTCTGAGCTCTCCACTGTGGCCATATTCTTCACCGCTCTCAGCTACTACAGCCTTAGCCCGGCTGCAGCAGCATATGCACGTCAGGCAATGTTCATAGAGGTATCATAAATGAGGACAGATAATGAACTGCTAGTGTTTCTTATGTGTGACCTTTAAAAGCAGATCCTGCATTATATTTCAGTTTTGTTTCACTTGATTGTATAATTCTAATGCTTTGAGAGAACATTAGTACATAAAAAGCATCATAAAGAGCTGTGATTAATCAGTCATCAGAATAAAGAAAGTTTGCTAAACAACTGCAAACCTGGAGTTACATCTACAATGTAAAGTTATATAGATCCAAACATGCCTTAGAATGGCCCAGTTCAAGTCCAGTGTTAACTAGAATGTGAAGTAAAAGTTAATTGAAATATTTAGTACTGTTATTTTACTCAGAAAAATATTGCTCATCCTTTTTAGGTTGCCTCGAATCTGTGTTGCCTGACTCAACTTCTGCCAGAGAACATGACAACACTTCGGTTTTGTGGACATACATTTGCCACAATCCCACTGGGGGAATCTGTGGTTCTGAAGCTCAGCATCCCTTGCCTTCTATATGTCTACCTGTTTTACCTGTTTTTCAGGTGAGTGCTGGTAAACTAAACTTTGATGCCATTAATCTGTAGTAGCTGGTTTTCAGTTACTAATTATCCATGTTGTATTTTTTTCTTTCTTCCTATTCTCAGCATGGCACGAACTCGTGGATTTAGGGGGACGTACTGTTTTCTGATTCCATACCTTGTGTGCTTCATGTGGTGTGAATTTTCAGTGGTCCTCCTCCAGAATTCATCTGCCGTGGGATTAATCCGTACCTGCGTCGCATACTTTCTGTTCCTGTTTGCCCTTCCTGCTCTGGTTTTTGGCCTTGCCACCATGCTGTTCATCCAGATCTTCAAGTGGTTCATAGAGCTAGAGCTGACAAAGGTGATTGTGACCCTCGTGATATGTGCAATCCCTGTCACTTTGCGGCTCTGGACACGGTTCAGCACCTCTATTTTGAATGTTTTCCGCTCCTTGATGCACTGGGGTCCAGTCAAATTCATCCTACTCTGCATTTCCATGGTGATTTTGTTGTTCTCAGTTTATGTATACCATGCAGAAGGACAGAAGGTGTACAACTCCACCCTGACATGGAACCAGTACAGTCAGATTTGTGGGCCTCCAGCATGGGAGAGCAAAGGCATGGCCCAGACACAGATCTTCTGTAGCCACCTGCAAGGACACAGAGTCACTTGGACTGGGCGCTTTAGGCACACCCGCATTGCTGAGACAGAAAATGGAGCACAGTCTGTCATTAACATACTGCCAGTGTTTATTGGGGACTGGATGCGCTGCTTGTATGGTGAGACATATCCCAAGTGTGAGCCAAAGAATACAACACTGGCAAACAACTCAGTAGCAGAAAAAACAAACAGTTCTTCGTCGGCTTCAGTTTCTCTAGCCACGCTGCTTCAAATGCAAGAAGAAGAGGAGTTGTGTCAAGTAAAAGCTTTAGCCAAACACTCCTGCCATGTCAAGCGGTTCGACAGCTACCGATTTGAAGTGACAGTGGGTATTATCCAGGATGGAAGTTCAGGGTTAGGGGATCCAGCCAAAGATATAATCTTAATGGCTAGCAATGAATTTAAACAAGTTCTGCTTAATCTGAGACCTGGTAACATAGTGGAGTTCAGTACTAAGCTGGACGGCCGTTTAGGAACAAAGGCTCCAGCCTTTGAGCTTAAGGCTATCCACTGCCTCGACTGCCCCTCCTCACGGCTGACTGGAGGCCGGCAGGTGAAGATTGAGAGAGACTTCAGGCGTACCACAATTAAAGCCTTGAAGTTTGCTTTTGACTTTTTCTTCTCACCGTTTCTATCAGCAAAAATCCATACTTGAGGTGAAGAAGGAAACACCAAATCTTATTATAAGAACTTGATGAAATCTCTGTAACTACCTTTTCTTGTAAAGAATGTTCAAAACCAATTGAACATATAACTTGTAGATGGATGGAGCATAAATTACTAAATCATGCAAATGTAATGCATTGTAATTACTGCACATGTTCAGTATTGCAATAGAATTGATGCAACTGAAATACTGACCCAGGGATGATATTATGTAATCTTATTCAACACTCTTCAGACACTTCTACTGTAAAATAATGTGACTCTTTAAAGAATCCAAATTATTGACCACTGTGGGTAAATCACAGAACATTTAAAAATTTAATTCCAAGATGGTTATTGTCGCCTTTAAGTTAAAAATAGATTATAAAACACATTTCTTACAGTTAAAAAACTGAAACTAATCAACTGATCTGTTGTATTATAACAATCTCAGCTAGGTTTTCTTTTGCAGAAAAAAAGTCTATGCTAGCCAACACTGTTTCATCAATGTCAGCTGGTCTGTCCTCTGATTTCCAAAGAGAAAATATGGTTATGGGTTGGTGATTGAGACATCAAATGTTTGCAATGGGCTCCATGCACAACTCCACCACTTCCTGAATGTACGGTAGCTGCTTTGTTTCCTGTCTTTTTCTACTTTTTATGCTTTTTCTAATGGATTAATCCAAGATTAATTTGTTCATCCAGTAGATAAAGACAGGAAACAAAGAAGTAGTTGAGTTGTGCATAGAGCCAATTTTCCAACAATGTTGCATAAATCTTTCCTGTGACATCCACAGGTAATGAAGTTTATTTTAGCATTAATTTTAAAGCAAAATCAATTACAACTGCATGCAAATCTTAATATTTACTTCAACAGAGAAACGTTTGCAATCACCTGTCGTATAACTGTTAACTTTAATTAGGCTGATACAATTTATAAAAACATAACATACATAACATAACAGCCTTACTTTTACTGGAACAGAAATTGTGTTTTCTGTAAAATAATTTTTGCTGTGTTAAGTTTGTTTTATTTTACCAGAATAAAGCAAGAACTGTATTTTTTTTATTAATTATCAAATATTAATTTTACAAACTTGCATGATAAATGTGCATGATGAAAATGTATTTCTAACTGTATCAACCCTGAATATTCCTTTTTAATATGTGCTGTAGTTCAAAGCCTCAAAACCTCTGGAGAAACAGAGATGGTTGGTGTATACATATGCTGCCATGAAATTACTGTGCTTGGAAAGGTTAAACTTGTCAAATCAATGTTGATGCTGCTTGTTTTATTGTATGTTTTGATATTGTCTTTCATATATTGTGTCTATTTACAATACAGTGTTTGTATGCTGAAAATTGTTGTTTTTAATTGAGAATCATATAGCAGAATAAAGTACAAAGTAGAACAAGGAGGAAAGTTGTTTAAAAAAAGCCTTAAAGTTAATGTTTAATATGAAGACTTTGTAATCCAAAGATGCCACTTATCTCTCCAACTGAGAGATTTATTCTCTATTAATGTATATACCTTTATATATTACATAGATTGGAATATACATTCCAATGATGGGTCTTTGTCAGATTAACAATACATTTTCATATAGCATCCTGGAAGCAGGTATTAAATATGCATTTTACTAAGCTGACGTTTCTATATTAAAATGTTGTTTTTTATTAGCCTGAAGTACAATTGCTGTCTTAAACAGTTTGGTTTCCTTACATATTTGCAGAAGACATGATTATTAGCAGAAATAAAGGTCTGAAAACAGTTTGTGTTGAGCTATCTTTTTAAAAGGAAAAGATGCATTTAGCTGCGTAAATAGTTGGTGAAATCAACTAAACTTTTAAAAGCATAATTAATATAAAATATTCTAACCTGTTAGACAGATAGTCAGTGGGACGTATGCTAGGTTTAGATAACCACGGAGCCACAGTATTTCCCCCTACTTTAAATATAAAAGATGGCCAGATTCAGATAAACACAAAGACAAAAAATGTCCTAATTTCAGATAATTTTATTAATGCACATTCCTTTCAGTCATCTGACGTGAATGTTTTGCAAATTTACATATTTTTTTAGTATGACACATATACAGGTAAGAAGCACTGATTAATGGTAACATGCTGCAGATGCTGCTGTGATCATGAACACGAATCCTCTCCCTGCACTATGGTGGTGAGTCTGATGCATTTATACGTCACTCGATGACATTTAAACTACTTCATTTGTGGATCCTCACATTTTTAACACAAGTTTTTTCCTCATTTGCAGAAACAGAACGCAGGTTTATAGATAGCAGACGAGCAAAACAAATTCAATGAAAATCCTTTTTTGGCCTAAGTTCACAGCTTTTCCACAAGAGTCAAACCTCTGGTTTAAAAAAATCCTATCATATCCCCCCATTTCATTTTAAAATGTGTTTTTCCTCCATTTCTAATGAAAATGCATTTACACCTCTTCATAATCATGTCAGGACCAAGGTCACTTGAGAACAAAGTACTGCATCCTAAGCAATAAAGCAGTCCATCACGTTTTGCATCTTTAATACAACCCAAAGCAGCAAACTGTGCGATAAGATATCGGCTATGAACTAAATCCTGTGATACACTATGATAAATCTACATTATAGTAATTGGACATTGAAGATCTTTCAATGATGCATATGATGAGCTATTGCACTGATGATAACCTCTGACCCCAAACACTCCTTAGACAAAAACATAGCCATGTCAGCATGTTAGCCGACCAGGGTTTCTCTTTAATAAACAGTGTGCTAATTATTTTGACTCCTTTTCATAATGTGCTTTTGTGTTATAAAATGAACAAGGCTCATTTTGTTTTTGCACATATAACAGTTACATTTTGTCTTCTTCACAGTGGTTTGCAAAAGTATTCATATACCTCGAGCATTTCCACAAGTTTGTCTTTTGATATCCCCAACCTTCTCCTTATTATATTGGGATTGTATGCAAGAACCAAAACAACTTAATACACGGCTGTGAAATAAAAGCAAAACAACTGAGGGTTAAATAAAATTAGAAATAGTTCTCTGTATGTTTTGCATTTCTATTAAATCAAATTAACTAATTAGTAATAATGGTATCCAGCTGTTCTGTGAATACCTCAGTATGTATCTTATAACAGTAAATAAATAGCATCCTAAAGAGAAATAAAGCAGGATGATAAAACAATAACTCAAACTTTGGATATCTCACTGAGGTAGCCATAAGAACTTCTGGTTGCACTTCACCATATGCCACACAGAGTAAACATGATGAAAAAGGTGCTCTTATCACATGAAATTTAAAATGAACTATTAGCTTTAATGCAAAACGCTGAAGGAATAAGACAGATGCGAAAACTGATGGGAGGTGGATAGAGGCTCTAGAAGTCTTGAGTCTCAGGTGGAGATTTACCTTACAGATTGCCCTAAAAATGCAGCCAGAGCTAGTGGGGGATGGTTTACATTAACGTCTATCCAAAACCCCCAAGTCAAAGTCTGAACTAACTCCACTTGTGATGTGCAGGGCTTATGAGGACATGCACACCTCCAGCTGTAATTGAGCCAATGGTCGAACAAAGTATGAACTTATGGAGAACTGGACGCAAATTAGAAAGCTGTCTGTCTCTTTATTTCGACAAAAAAATAAAAAAAAATAAACGTAGTTAGCGGTTACAACCTGACAAAATGTAGAAGTGTTAAGGGACCTGAATGCTTTTGCACGGCACTTTCCTTAATCTAGACACTAGTAAAAAACAAAAACAAAAGACTTCGGGTCGTCTTATATTCTGTTCACCCAGCCCTCTCATCCACCATTAACTCTATATGTATTGCTACACAATAATTACATTGTTAAAAAGATCATAGAACCTTTCTGCATGAGATTTGATCTTCATTTACAGTTGACACAACAAAACATGTTTAAAACAAAGAGGTATAGTCTTTTTAAGAAATCACCTGACTGTAAAAAGTGTATACATCACATGTAGAAGGAAAAGACTTATGATCTATAGCAGAAATACTGTTTATCTGTTCTTGGTGATACAATTTCAGTGTGAATATATTATGTGTGACTTGTGTGTAATCTCCAAGAGCACTGCTCTAAAGGAGAGGGTCAGTACCTGTTGTTACTAGGTAGACAAAAGAAAGAAAGTTGCAAAGAGACATTCCCTTTAACCATAGCAGACATTCCACATTTGAAAAAATAAAACAAACAAAAACTGATGTCTTGTAAAGTCATCCGGTTGTCTCAGGAGCATTAGACACTTCTTCACTGAAGCGCTTTCTGTTTTGTTTTAAAAGAGTTGATTAGTGAGTGGTGCGACACTGTGATTAACAGCACTGAGTCGTTGCAGATGTGGAGGTGTCCCCGCACCTCCTTCACTGCTCAGGCAGAGGGAAATTACACAAACATCTTGGAAAAGTAGGAGCAGAGTGCAGCAAGAAAATCAAGTCCCAATAACCCCTAGAGATATGAGGACATCTCAGGGTTAGAAAAATGACAACACCTTTTTTTTTGTGAATAAATCCTTTCATTTTAAGTATCAGTCGGTGATTAAGCCATTAATCAACCACCTCATCTCCAGAGGCTGAAATGTTCTTATGCATTCTTTAAACACCAAAATAGCTTCAGGTTTGTGTTTGCGTTCCTCTCACTGTGTCTGTGCATCAGGGTTGACACGGTCCTGAAAGATGTAAAGGTTATTGGTAGCTGCTATGGCGATTATATTCTCTGCTGGATGCCAGGCCATGTGCAGGATTTTCTTGGTGAAGTCCAGGCTGTCAACACCCACATCGCCACGGCGACGCTTCCCGCCCGTATACACCCGGCGGGTACGCAGCACCGCCCGGGGCTTGCTGTTCTCCCGCCACGCCTCCAGGGTTACACCCCGCCCTGTCTCGCGATCAAACATGCGGAAGAAGCTGTTGTACGCTCCCGTCATGATCACACTAGGTCATAGGAGAGGAACAAGAAAGGTTTATGGTGGACCAGAGAAGTGGATAACAAGGAAAATGTACATGGTGAGGAGATTGATCTGATGTTTCCACAGACTCCAACATTGATTGCAGTGTCAGATAATGTCAGAGCCAAGCTATTAGGAGCATCAAACTGACATGCAGTCACAGATTCATCTAATTTGCTTTCAGATTTTTTTGCATACTGTCTCTACCCATCACTTACCTGTCTGAGCTGTTCCAGACACATTCAAATTTATCAAAGATGCAGTCATTCTCATAGAGGGAGCACAGCTTACTCCTCAGGTATTCGTGGACCTGGGGATGGTGGGGACAGTAAGGTTTTATTTATGCTAGGTTATGGTATATTGCATGCAGAAATAAGGATGTCTATATAGTACTATAAAAAGCCCAGAATCATTCCTTATTTATACACTATTTCCAGGGAGCGGGTTAAGTCATTTATATTTATGAGTCTAGTTTTAATTGTTTGACGAAACGTTCATTAAGAGTATATGACCATGAAAGCAACTGTTCCTTAAAAATATGGATGAGTGAAGGATGAAGTGTCAGGTTTGTAAAAGGATCAATTGCTTTTGAAAGAAGAAGAAATAAAAAAATGAAAGCATTGGACAAAGAGCCTCAAAGAAGCAAAGTTTTTTTTTTTTTACTATAAATGGCAAAGTGTGACCTAATAGCTGTTTAGGAGTTAATTGTTTTAAAACTGCCAAAAGAGATCAGATTTGAGTTTGCACTACAGAGACTAAACAAGTCCTTTTTTAAAAATTGGCTCTTTACTAAGTTGTCTTTCTCCGGGAGAAGCAGCAGTGATTTATTCTTGAGGTTTTCAAACGTTTCAGTTTCTGACCCATAAAATGGTATCAGAATTGACTCATGACCTAAACTACTGGTTGAGGATACAAACATTTTTACAAAATAAATCAACCAGGAGTGTAGTAATATTACAAGCAGCATCAAATAACACAGTAGTTGGTTTCTTTCATTTTAAGTGATGCTTTTATGTCTTTAAGAATTTTAAAATAAATATTTTTGTTTTTTATACTAAATTCCAGCTCCTCATACTGCTTTAGGAAGGACTTTCAAGGGAACTCACCAAGTCGTTTATTGAAACAAAGTTTTAACAATTATCTTATCAGATCTGTAAATATTTACCTCTGAATTAAACATATATGTCTTTATCCCAATTTTTTTAATCTTAAATCTGAACATGACAAGGAACACAATGGAGGGCCCAGGTGGGATTTGATCAAACAGATCCTGGGTGAAAATCATGTGCTCCACATTCTGGCGTAGCTGGCAGGATCCATGTGCAACACCGGCAAACGGCCCATGGATTCATAAATGGTGGTGACAGCCAGTGTGGAACACGAAGACATGCTTATGGAAAGAGGAGAGATGTGACAGTGTGGTACTGTCACTATGGTTCCAACTGCTAATGCGTCTTGGCTACTTAGGCACACGGATATTCTTTTGTCCAACAGGTTTTCGACTTTCACCTGTGAGTCTGTGGGATCAAATTCTGCCCAGAGTCTCTGTCAAGTACATTGCCACATATATAGTGTTTTTTTCACTTAGTAATTTGAGTAACTAAAAAAAAAGTGTTTTTCAAATTTATTAAATTTATTGAATATAACTACATTTACCAGACTGGTCTGGTGTTTTAACATTGAAAAAGAAAAACTGCAGCATTCCTTTAGTTTTGACATTGGAATGGCTAAAAGCCACTTCTTTTGTTGGCTTGCGTGGTTAGAGAAATTAAGTTTGGTTGTTTTTCAGCCTGCTTTTGGATGTA